GTGGAAGCCACTTCGGTGCAATTCTTTTGCCCCTATCATTTGAAAAGAATGATTAATTGAAAGGCATACAGATTAAACACTTCTCAGCCCGTTCCCCTAGCAACCATCGCAGACTATTTTTACTGGAGCCCAGGTTTCTGCCTTGAGCTAAGTTTGCAAAGCACCTGAACAGAAATTGGCATTTTAGCTAATCAGTTTGTCATTCATCCCTAAAGTATTCCAGAAAGCAATGCTTATGAACCTCACGTCAGTGTTGAGAAATGGCAAGTGACAGGTCATCAGTGACCCTGGCTTGTTGTTAATCTTTTAGGGTGCAATTGCTAAGCTGATGACGAGAGGAGGATCTGAACATGATTACAGCTATTCAATGAGTCACTTGCCAACTGCAGGGAAGCAAGACTGTTCTCATCATTTATAATTCTCTGAGAGATTCTTGTTGCTGTGGTGATCCTGAGGCCCTGTAGCTCAGAAAAATGAAAAGTTCTACATGGCTACTGGTGTGAACTATGACTGTGTCAAGAACTGTAACTGCACAGTCCAACGGGTGCAGCAAAGCATAGTCTAGAAAGAAAGTCCCCATCAATAGTAAGGCTCAGGCACTCCCCTGTAGAGACTCTGCTCTTCACACCTGTAGCATGACCTAGTTCTGTAGACTGAGTTCCCTCCATTGTAAAACGAGGGAAAAACACTATCACCCCTTCAGCGTGTGGATCAAAGGAACTGACTCAGCAGATTTTAGACAGCATTGGCACACCATGAGCTCAGCAGAAGAAGGTGGAAGTTGAGCCGGATGGTGGTGGCGCACGCCTTTAGTCCCAGCACTCAGGAGGCAGAGACAGGCAGATCTCTGTGAGTTTGAGACGAGCCTGGTCTACAAGAGCTAGTTCCAGGACAGCCTCCAAAGCCACAGAGAAACCCTGTCTAGAAAAAAACAAAAAAATTAAAACAAACAAACAAAAAAAATGTGGAAGTTGTGGTGAGATGTGTCTACTACTGAAGACAGCACATACTCTGGTGACAGGAAAGGTCACAGAATTGACACTGGTACTGGCCTCCAAGAGTTCCCCATGGTGCCTAGCCTTCACAGTACCAGAAACTGCTCTTTAGGCTGCTTGGGGAGAAAAGACTTCAATGATCTTACCTAGCTGTGTATGTAATGACCAGCCTAGCCAAACAAATCATTGGTGCAATAGTGGCATGCACATTGTAGAGGTAACCAGCATCTTTCTGCTTGGATTTAAGACCTACTCCAAAGGAAGGAACCTATTCTTTGTACTGTAAACATGGCAAGAACCCATTGCTGAGGAGTTCACAGACACTAGGAGAGATCCTACTACTATTATTTTGCTTAGTGGATGAACTATCAATCTGTCTTCCAAAAAAGTTACCTTTTAAAAAAAATAGATTATTTTCTCATACAATGTATCCTGGTTACAGTTTCCACTCGGGCAGTGATATATTGTTTATGATCTAATAAAGTTTGCCTGGAGATCAAAATGCAAAGCTAGCCATAGCCATAGAGGCCAGGCAGTGGTGGCACACACCTTTAATCCCAGTTCTCAGGAGACAGAAGCAGATGGATCTCTGTGAGTTCAAGGCCACTCAGAGCTACATGAGAGTGAATCAATCTAAAAGAGTAACAGAGCTCATGCCTTTAATCCCAGCACTAGAGAGGTATATAAGACAGGAGCTTGGGGTCTCGTGGAACATTCAGTATTCAGTCTTAGGCAATTAGTCTCCAGCCACATTGAGGACAGGATCTCCCCAGCCCTGGTAGAGGTAAGAGCTACTGGTTTGGCTGCTTGCTTTGCTTCTCTGATCTTCAGCTTGAGCCCCAATATCTGTCTCGGGGCTTTTGTTATTCGTGATATACCCTCTTGCTGCTCCTCCCAGTTCTACCCAGATCCACTCCCTTTCTGTTGGCCATTAAAAAAAGAACAGGTTTCTAAGAGCTAACCACCTAACACAACAAAATAAAATATAAGACAAAACCATCACATTGAAGTTGAACAAGGCAAAAATCAACAGAAGGAAAAGAGCCTCAAGAGCAGGAGCAAGAATCAGAGACCCAGCCATTCACACATTAAGGGGTCCCATAAAAATTTAAACTGAGCCAGGCATTGGTGGCGCACGCCTTTAATCCAAGCTCTCAGGAGGCAGAGGCAGGTGGATCGCTGTGAATTCGAAGCCAGCCTGGTCTCCAGAGCTAGTGCCAGGATAGGCTCCAAAGCCACAGAGAAACCCTGTCCCTAAAAACAAAAACAAACATATATATATATATATATATATGCTATAATATATATGTTGAGGGCCTGTGTAAGCCGTGCTTTTGCTGCTTCAGTCTCTGTAAGTTCATGTGAACTTTTCCCAGTCGATGATTTAGAGAGGGCCTTCTTCTCCTGGTGTCTTCCATCCTCTCTGGCTCTTAACACTCCTTCTGCCTCCTCTTCTGCAGGGTCCACATCTCACCCTCATTAGGGAAACTTCTTTTACATTAGATGACGGTTGATGCAGAGATTGACAACTGGCCACAGTGTAGAGAGTGAGTGACTGCAGAGCTCTTGGCCTTAAGTGGTGCATCTGTATTGTGCCCCTTTCCCATGGCTCAGGGAACAACCAGAAAGAGGGAGAGACAAAAGGACTAGATGAACTAAAGCTTGGGGAAGGCTGAAAAGAAATAAAGACTGTCTTCTGGGCATGGCAAAGCTGTTGTACTCGTGACTGGTGGAAGCTCTGGATGCCTGCCCATGATGGAACCAATCAACATTCCAGCGTGGGTGAGGCAGAGACTCACAGGGCCCCGTCCTGGATGAGGGGCCATGAGCAGTGGACGGCCTTTTGATTACACAGGGAAGCCCGTGATTTAAAGAGGGAAGAACAGTGCTCCTGGTAGTGAGTGTGTAATTTCGCTTTCTACAGTGGATAGTATTTAGAAATCTGTGTCTAATGTAGATAATAGTCATTGTGGACAATTTTCTTAACACTTTCAAGTTTCCAATTCACAGACTCTTTCTCATTAAAAAAGAAAAGTTCTGATTTTTGAAACTCAACTGGAGCACTCTTTATGTTTTCCAGATTTTTTTTTGCAGATGTAGTCAGTCTGTTATTCTTTTTTCTTTAATGTCTCATACAATATATTTTGATCAGGCTTCCCCTCCCCCGATTCCTCCCAGAACCTCCATACCTACCCAACTTTAGCCCCTCCCCTCTCTCAAAAAAAAAACATACAAAGAATAATATCAAAACAAGCAAACAAAAAAACAATAAGATAAAAATTGCCAAAACAAATGTAACAAAAAAAAAAAGCCATTGAGTCTGTTTTGTGTTGGCCAGCTACTCCTGGACAATGTGACTGCCTGAAGTGAGACAGCTTGAGTGATTTTTAATCCCATGGCTTCCCTTGTCTCCTTTGTCCAGTGGCTTCAGCTCTCTGGTCTCCAGCTTTTCATAGGAAAATTACAGAAAGAAAATAAAAGCACGGAGTTACAATGATAAGTTACTGTGAGCAAATTGCTTAGCAGAGTTAAACATGGATGGTGAGCTGCTGTGTCACTTTCCATAACCAGGAACTATTTAGCATCTAGATACTGAGTCCCAGTATGCAAGGAGCTAATGTCTTATCACATGGTATGTTGGTGCCCACCTTTAGTCCCAGAGTACAAGATGTTGAGGCAAGTGAACTGAGAGTTGTAAGTGAGCTTGGGTTACACAGTGAGTTACTGCCCATGAGACCCTAACACACACCCACACACATACATATATGTATGTGTGTATGTATGTAAATGCATATTTATATCCATTTTCTCTTATCATTACAAACCTGGCCAGAGCCCCTCTAGGACTCTTACTTCCATTTCCATGGCCATGCTTCTCGTGTCTTTTAGTGCATATCCATTATGGCACGGCATCTTCAACTTACAAGCATGTTGATTTAGAGGCGGTGCTATGTTTATGTATCTGCTGGTCCCCGTTGTAAGCATGTCAGTGGTAAAACCAGGCTCGCCCTGGTTTGTCTCTTTTGATGAAGCCCCATACAGGGCACCTTGCATTGTGGGCTCTTTTTTACTTCTTGAAGGATAAAGTCTGTGGTTATGATGTGTTTCTTTCGACAGTGGATAGGAACTGGGTGGAGCCCATGCTAAAGTAGGGAAAAATGGAATTGAAAGTGATGTCATAATGTAATAAACATAAAACAGAGTATGCCATGCTCTGCTTAACGGAAATGGAAAACGTGGGAAATCAGTGCACTGACAACTCCCTCTGTGTGGACTCCACAGTGAGGGGTGTAGAACAGGATCCAGCAAAACTTGAGGGGGAAAATCCTGACTGGTGACTCTCCCAAGTCATAAGCAAGCGGGATGCCAAATGGGAAGATGATTTCAGTAACTGTAGTGTGTGCTGTGTGTGTGTGCATGCTGGAGAGGCCAGCAAGTAGAAATACTGAAATAAGGCAATTGACTATAATGAAAACATTGCTGAGAGCAGACATAAGTTAATAAGAGCTGAGAAAGAATGGGTGAGTGGGAAGGAAATGCAACTGGAACAGAGCAGTGGTCAGGAAGACAAGAGAGCAGACATGGGATGTCACAGGTGTGAAGTCAGAGAAACCAGAATGAGTCAGGGAATACCCCCGACTCCCCAGTGCTGATGGAGGCAGGTCCGTGAAAAGTTCAAGTCAAACGGCTTTCCTCCCATCACATTCTGCCACCTCAGCTGTTATAAATGTGAGAAAGTTGAGAAGCGTTAAGTTACCTGAGCCAGGGGTTCCCACCTTCCAGATGATCTGTGCTTGACTGAGATCGCAACGTGAGTGTGAATGTGTTAAAATAATTTCCAAAGTGGTTACAGTAAAACTTTAATATCAAAAACAATGAAAGTCTACGGGTTGGATAATTGATCTCTCTGCCAGAGTCATACAGAGAGGTGGGGGCAAGAAAAACTTTTTAAAGTTCAATTTTATTGAAAGTGAACTATGAACTGTTTCTTTTATACCTGACTAGGTTCCCCAAGATGAATGGACAGGGTACACGCCTCGCGGAAAAGATGACGAGATTCCGTGCCGAAGGATGCGAAGTGGCAGCTACATCAAGGCCATGGCCGATGAGGACAGCGGGGACTCAGACACGAGCCCCAAGCCTTCTCCCAAGGTGGCTGCAAGAAGAGAAAGCTATCTCAGGGCTACACAGCCCTCCCTTACAGAGCTCACCACACTCAAGTGAGTACCCCTCCTCCGTGCCTGCTTCCGGCAGCCCACTGCGTTCGCCCCTAGGTCCGGCTGACGATGAGACGCAGTGGAGCAGAAAATGTCCCTCGGCTACGTGCAGTGTTGTAATGAGTGGCCTGTTGGTTTTGACATTGGATTTGACTTGTAAATACCACTGTCATAAAGACGGGGAATCACAGATGGACTCCTAACCCTCAAAGGCAGTCACAATGTTTTGGGGGGTGGGAAGGAGAGATTTCTGGCCAATGAAAAGGCCCATGTACCCGAGTTTTGGAGCTTTTTTGTTTCAGCTACTAAATATACAAGGGAACTCTTCCTTAGAAGACGTGGGTTTTCAGAAAATTATGTAATGTGGTTGAGTTGTTTGTGTCAGAGAAGTTTATAAAATGAGATCACGCTGGGAAGTTGGGTAGTGCATGACAGTTCTTGATACGAATTTTGAATTTGGACTCCATACATATTACAGTTTGCAAGACCTTAAAGGTGTTTTTGTTTGTTTATTTTTAAAATTGTGAGTACAAGCACTTATATTTGTGCTATTTGGAGAAAAGCAACTTTGCAAAGGAAACAACTACAACTGACTTTTTTTTTTTTTTGAGACAGTTCTCACCATGTTGTCCTGGCTAACCTGGCGCTCACTATGCAGTCCAGGCTGGCCTTGAACTCAACAGAGATCAGGCTGCCTCTGCCTCCTGAGTACTGGGATTAAAGGTGTTGCCACAATACACAGCCCAGATACTGATTATTTCAAACAGACCTAATTTCTAATATTGTTCATAGAGAGTAAGTCAGAGCCTTAGGAAAAAAGATCTATTTGGACCTAAAAGATATATTGCAGGTGACTGGTGTTTTTAAAGTGCCCTCGATGTAAAATGCCTATGACTAATGCTATTTATGCACTCGCATTCAGTCACAGAGTGAAATGTTAAAAAAACAAAACAGGAAAAGGACAAGATAGCTAGGTAAAATATAAATGTAAAAATACAAATCAGACTACTGATCAAGAACATTGAAAGGCAGCTGACTGATCTATAACAAGAACTATTTAAATAGCGAAGGACATAAGGAGGGAGGCAGGAAAATCTACTCTTGGATCCTTTTCAAGGGACCATATGGAATTGCTCTGAGATCTTTTTAATTGAAGATTAGCATTGATATATTAGTTAACCAACCCACAAAGAGAAGCTGTTCTTTCTAACCTTCCCATGCCCGTGTTCCTTCGCTTTGCTTTTGTGTGTTAGCTAATCAGGCTGTCATCACAAACAGCACAAACAAGGAATTTACTGCTTCCTAGCACAGGAAGTTAGACCTGTGGGGGGCGTACACCTGCCGAAACGCAGAGGTCAATCCTCCCTTGTTTCTTCTGGATTCTGGTTGAAACCAGCAACACTTGTTATCCTTTGGCTGACCTCACCTGACATCGCATGGTGCTAACTTCATCACTCTCATGACACCAGCCATAGCGTTAGGGACCTCTCTAATTAGCCTCATGTTAACTTGGTTGAATCTGCCAAGATCCTGTTCTTGCTGTGAGCATTCACAGATGCTGACAGCATCTCTATTTGGGGGATATGAATCAACCTATAACCTGACTACAGGGTAACGATGTGGACACTGAAAGGGGGAAACAAGTCTGTGGAACTTTGACACACCTGCAAGAGACACACACAAAAAAATTAAATAGTGAACTGGTATGATAAAAAAAAAAGATGGTGAGCCAAAGTGTTGTAAAGTGAGAAAGTGAGGGTAGCCTGAGGCCCTGGCTATAAAATATTTCTCGACTAGACATAGTAATCGTCACAGCCATGGTGTCAAAAGAGACAAGTGAAGGCAGGCAGAGGGCAAGAACTCGCATGAGCCCTTCAAGATTATCTGAAAGGAAGAGTGAAGACAGGCAGCCTCCAGCACCCTCCCTTATCCAGAGCATCCTGTCAGGTCATCTGCAGGGCATGCTGGACACATTAGCTAAGTGACACCTTGGGCCTTAGGTGACAGGATACAATGACTGCTATTGCTCGCCACAATGCACAGATGTGAGGTGGGCAGAAAGGAGAAGGGCTGTGAGAATATTGAGGAAAGTTTGGGGAGCCTGGAGGCAGACAGATGCTGAGATCGACATTCCCAGTTTTGCACTGGCAACATTCTGTTGAGAGCTCTTTCCACTAAGTCATCTCCTCTGCTTTCTACATACTACTCTGTCGCTAACTCCTGGGCTGAATCTAGACATCCATATTCTTTTATTCTCCAGAAAGAGGCAGGCAAATAGTGACAAAATGTGTCCAACTTTGTGACAGCATGACATGCTGTCATCTACCAGGTTCATGCTTAAGGACCATGGAATTGTGTAAATGGAGTTCTTAATTGGTCTAAATAATAAAAACCTGGAGTTAGATATAGAGAAAAATGCTGAGACATCAGAGAGAAGGAGGAGTAAGCCAAAGCCACCTTTTACCTCCTTTGCTTCCAGAGGACAAGAGTGTAAGTTCCTGTTTCTTCCAGCTTATATCTTCTACACCCAGCTATTTCACTTCCTGTGTCTGCCCATCTATCTCACTTCCTGTTTCCTGCCCAGCTATCTCACTTCCTGTCTGTCTGTACAGACCTCCAGAGACCTCTATGGTTAACTAGTGGCAAGCTCCATCCTCTGATATTCAAACAGGCTTTATTTTTACAAGCAAGATAACACCACATAATTGAGTTACCAAAAAATTATGTTTTAAGTAAGTTTATGGTTTGGGGGGCAGGGGGTACACTGATCTGAGGCACATGTAGACCATGGACCATGGGTCAGACCCTGCTGGAGGAGGAGGTCATCAATGTCAGTGAAATGCTCAAATTGAGTGTGAGTAAGTGAAGGCTATTTCTAGTCTCCAAACTAATGGAAACTAAAAGTGGAAGAAACCAGTTTACTCACAAATTAAAAAAAAAATTGATTTCTCAGTATAGAGTTTCATCAAGCCATTTCTTTTTTTAATTCTTTAATTACTACTCATATTTACATATCCAAACCCCACCATTCCCTCACCCTCCCATCCTCCCATGTTCCCCAACCCACCCCCCAACTCCTCCCCAGGGATAGTGAGCCCCCACACTTCAAAGTCTGTCATATCGTTAGGGGGAGGGCCTAGGCCCTCCTTGCTGTATCTAGGCTACAATAGTATCCCTCCATAGGGAATGGACTCCCAAAGTAGTTGTGCTCTAGGGATAAAGACTGGCTCCACTGTGAGAGGTCCCATAGACTGTCTTGGCCTTCTAGCTGGCACCCACATTCACAGGACCTGGTTTTGTCCAATGCTGTTTCCCCAGCTTTAAGACAAGTGTCTCCATGCTATCACTAGGTCAGGTCCACTGTTTCTGCAGGTCTCTCCAGCCCTGTCTTGGCTCCTTTGCTCATCTCTTCTCCCTCTCCACAACTGAATTCCAGTAGTATGTTTCAGTGCTTAGCTGTGGGTATCTGTTTCTGCTTCAAACAGCAACAGGATGAAGACTCTCCTTCCTCCCCCTGCCCCCAGGCTCACACTTTGGTCAGGGGTTCTTGGCCCCATTGCCTTTTTCAAGGGACTATGCAATCTTCTCTTGGGGTCCTCCTTGCTTCCTAGCTCCTCTGGCAGTGTGGCTTATAGACTAGTGATCCTTTACTCTATGTCTAAAAATAAAAAATGAGTGAGTACATACCATGTTTATCTTTTTGTGATTGGGTTACCTCACTCAGGATGGTTTCTTCTAGTTCCATCCATTTGCCTGTGAATATCCAGATTCCATTGTTTTCTTCTGATGAGTAGTACTCCATTGTGTAAATTTACCACATTTTCTCTATCCATTCTTCAGTTGAGGGGCATCTAGGTTGTTTCCAGGTTCTGGCTATTACAAATAATGCTGCTATGAACATAGTTGAACATATGTCCCTATTGTATGAGTGTGCATTCTTTGGGTATATGCCCAAGAGAGGAATTGCTGGATCTTGAGGTAGACTGATTCCCATTTTCCTGAGAAACCCCCATACTGATTTCCAAAGTGGTCTTACAAGTTTGCACTCCCACAAGCAATGGAGGAGAGTTCCTCATTCTCCACATCCTCCCCAGCATAGATTGTCATTGGTGTTATTGATTTTAGCCATTCTGACAGGAGTAAGATTTCAGAGTGATTTTTAGTTGCATTTCCCTGATGGCTAAGGATGTTGAGCACTTTCTCAAGTGTCTTTCAGCCATTTTGGATTCCTCTATTGAGAATTCTCTATTTAGTTCTGCACTCCA